GAAATGGAAATCCCCAGGGATTTTCAGGTGGTCGGAGGGACCTCGCAGGTCTGATGTAGCCACTGTGTTCTAGTTTTTGGTAATCAGAATTCTCACAAAGATGTTTTATTAATTGTTATATACACAAAGAATGATGGAGAACAGGAATTGTACCTGTATCAGCATCTTTGGGGATATTTACATTTATGCATTTTGTGTTTGAGATGAACAAACAGGCCTCTTCCATCTCTTTGTGTTACTCTCAGCATACACCAGGCTTCCATCCAGCCACCTTAGCACAAAGGTGGATGACATCTGCATTTTATCCACCTGGTGATCCACTTAATGCTCCAACCTGTGCAATGCTGGCTTTTCTCATAGAACTCATGATAGTGACAGCACAAGAAAGCGCTGGGTCACCTGCAGAGCCCTTATTTCTGGACTATTTTTTTTATCCAGTTGTGAAATTTGAGGTCCCTACACAGTTAAACCCATATTTATCTCTTCAGGTAGCCACCCCATGACACGTGACACAAATGTAATTTGTTTTGTTTCCGGCAGCTTGAAGATCACGAGTATAAACCTTTAGATCCTAAAGATATACGTCTTCCACCCCCAATGCCCCCCAGTGAGAGACTCCTGGCTGCGGTTGAGGCATTTTATAGTCCACCATCTCATGACAGGCCTAGAAACAGGTAAGAGCAGGTGTAGCTAACAATGTGGTAAAGAAAATGCCCTGAGAAGGTGTCTCAAACCACAAAGTGCCTCTCTCTCCTTCACCTGTGTCTTGGTTCTCCTGATGCTCTCGTTGTGTTGTAACTGCACTTGCTGTTTGATCTTACACTGGGATTCACAAGGCTGTTTTGCCCAGGCCCTTTGTTCCATACAAAGTCTAGTGAAAGTCCTGAAGATCGCCGTTGAACTGGAATTCCCAGCTGTGAAAATGGAATTTACAGCTCTGTGTGTGGTTGATCTGTTGCAGTGAAGGCTGGGAGCAGAATGGACTGTACGAATTCTTCAGAGCTAAAATGAGAGCAAGGCGGAGGAAAGGTCAGGAGAAGAGAAATAGGTGAGAGATCCTGTCTGCTGCCTTCTGCTGTTCATCTGAGCTAAATGCAGAGGGAAAGCCTTCAGCAACATGCTCATGGGATAACTGAGTTTCAGTGGGCTGGAATTTTTGTCTAACCTGCAGAAAATGGAACTGGCACAGGTTGCCCAGAGAAGCTGTGGCTGCCCCATCCCTGGAATTATCCAAGGCCAGGTTGGACGGGGCTTGGAGCAGCCTGGAATAGTGGAAGGTGTCCCTGCCCATGCCAGGGGGTGGGACTGCATAGGGCTCTAAGGTCCCTTCCAACCCAAACCATTCTGCAGTTCTATGAAGTAGTTTTTGACACACTGAAGTTTTCCCTGGTTGCCTGCAGAACTGCAGTGCTCGTGTGTAATTTGAATCTGATCAGAAGTAGGTTTGTGTTTCTGGTGCCTCTCCAGGAGTGTCACTGGAGTTCCTCTCCTTTTCCCTGTGCAGTGGACCCTCTCGGTCTCGCAGTCGCTCTAAAAGCCGAGGTCGTTCCTCTTCCCGCTCCAATTCCCGATCTTCAAAATCGTCCGGCTCCTACTCGAGGTCGCGCTCCCGCTCCTGCTCCCGCTCACGGTCCTACTCCCGCTCGCAGTCCAGGTAGAGGGCATGGGGCAGAACCTTGGGAATGAGGGGTGGGACAAACCCAGCCCCCAGGGCTGACCGAGGAACGGGGGGTGTTGCTCTGGTAACTCGTGCATCTGATGTCTGTGCTCTCTCTGCCAGGAGCCGCAGCAGGTCCCGCTCCTCCCACAGCCGCTCCCGGTCCCGCTCCCGCTCCAGGTCCAAGTCGTACTCCCCGGGAAGGCGGCGCCGGTCCCGCTCCCGCAGCCCCACTCCTCCGTAAGCTTGGCTTTAGTCCTGTCTCCTCTTCCCTGGGCTGTTGGGGACAGAGCCCCAGCAAGGGCACTGCCTTCCTAGTGCCTTACTTCCACTAAGAAGATGGAAAGCAGATGTAGAAACAATTTGTCTGCTGTGTGTGCTTGTAGAGAGAACGTTACTCTGTTGTGGTGGCTTTTTGTTATAACAAAACAGTGTGTAACTATGAAGGCTTTGCACACCTTCCTTGGGAGGAGGAGGAATCCTCTGAGTACTCCCTTGGGAAGAGTGCAGTGTTTGATTTCCCCTAGGCTGAGAAGCAGGGGGGTGTCAAAGGTGTGAGAAGCACATGCCAGAAGGCACCTCAGCAACTCCATAATCTAATGGCTTTATTAAAGAGTACCTTAGTAGAGTGGCTGGGATTGTGCTGGGTGTTGAAGTTTAACAGAATAGAACTGACCTTGCATTGTGTCAGAATGGTATCACTGGTTCTTAATTTGTTCTTCTTATTTCCTTAGTTCTTCTGCTGGTTTGGGCTCCAGTTCTGGGCCTCCTATACCAGAATCAAGACTTGGAGAAGAAAATAAAGGCCATCAAATGCTAGTGAAAATGGGTAAGATGCTGTTCTGGAATCTTACACAAGCCAGGAAACAAATTCAGGCACTGAATTCTTGGACATAATTAAGGCATGTTCCTGAGGAGTTACCCCATGGCATTCCAAGGTCAGCATAAGGATGTTCAGTGATACAAGTATTTAGAACATGGAGCAGTGGTGGTTGCCTTTCTGGGAAGGATATGGAAGACAGGGATGTGGGTTTGGCATCAGACAGAACTGACTTACCTGAGGTATTTCAGTGCAGGTCAGTAGGGTTGAGCTTGTGCTGCCCTTCCTCTTGCCCTCCTGAAAGTTTTTAGGGATAGAGCTGCTGTCTGTCAGCTCCTGGAATCTCTTGCAATTAATGCTTGTGAAATAAATGGGACAGTCCATGTGTTGTTTCAGGCTGGCTGTTCCCATCCTGCTGTTCCCATCAAACCGATGCTGTCTTTGGTCGTTTCCAAAATTTCCATGTTGGTCTGTCTTCACAACTTAGTAATAAAAAAATTAGTGACAGGATTGCAATGTGTCCTTGCTGCAGGATGGAGTGGATCTGGTGGACTGGGAGCCAAGGAACAAGGAATTCAGGATCCAATTAAAGGAGGGGATATCCGAGACAAGTGGGATCAGTACAAAGGAGTAGGAGTTGCGTTGGATGATCCTTACGAAAACTACCGAAGAAATAAAAGTTACTCGTTTATCGCCCGCATGAAGGCCAGGGATGAATGTAAGTGATGCTTCTCAGCACTTTACAAACCTGTGTGGCCTCGATAGTGATTTTGTCCTGTTTACTGTCCACTGTCAACCCAAATCAAAATATCAGTGACTCGTAGTTCTTTCTAACGTAACAGATACAGTAAAACAACAGGTAAGTGGACGTGTACTCTGATCGACCCAGCGTGTTGTTTTTAGGCCTTGTGTTGTGTTCTAATTTCTGAAAGATTAATTAATTAGCCTGTTCTACAAAAGCCACTTCCTGGCTGCAATACTGAGCACCTGCATCTTTGATGGTTACCCCTCAAAAACTCAGAGCAGTCACAAAGGTAGTGGAGGGGGAGCTGTGCCACAGCAGGGAGATCTGTGTGGTTGGGACTGAGACCACACTCACTGTTACCCCTCCTCTACTCAGACTTTCCTACCTTGCTGCCACATTCTGCCCAAGCCAGAACTGGTAATAAATTCCCTGTAGTGCAGGAAGGGTTCAGAAAAAGTGGAGGTGTTTGTAAGAGATGAAGACAGTCACCCAGATGATGGATTTTTGCAGAGAGTCTGTGATACATCGAAAAACTGCCCTTGCCAACAGCTAAAAGGAAAAAAATTGGCATGCTCAATGAAAAGTCACTTCTGCCTCTGGCTGCAGTAGATCTGTGCAGTCAGATGGGTTCAAATAAAGCCCACAAGTTCCTTATTAGAGAGCCCTCATTCCATGAAACATTTCAGGCAGCTTAGGTGACTGTGGAATGTGTAAGAACTCTTTTCCCTATTGTTTCAGTGAAGCGTGAAACACAAGACCCTCCACCACCCGAATAAGACTCTCTGAAGAAAGATGTCTTGCATCTTCTACAAAACATTAAACTTGTAAAAATCCGGATTAAAGTCTGGAGGAAGTGACAAATGAATTACTTTTTAAAACTATGGTGAAAAATGGAAAGCTATGACATGTACTTCAACACTTGTCATTTAGTGTTTAAAAAAGGCCAGTTGTTACCATGACATGTCTAGCAAGTTTAAAAACTTCCATTTATCTTGCAAAATTTTTTAATTAGTTCCCCATTTTATACTAGAACTAAGCCCCAGTCAGCCTGTCCCTGGTGCAGGATTGTGCCCCGCTCATTCCCGTGGAATACAGACGTTATCTGATGTGGTTGTATGTTCTCTAGTTCCATAATGTATGTTTATTTCTCTCAAAAGGTTAATTCTATTTGAAGTGGAGGGGTGCTGCCTTGGGATCAAGTCAGACTGATGCTGAGCAGTGTATCCTAATGTCTAAATGGGGGATGAAGCATCTCTAGTTCCAGTGCAGGTGACCTTTGAGCACTGTGCGAGCTTTTAGAACCTTCCACCCACCTCCAGGCCCCCAGCAGCTGCTGCAGCCACCACTGGGCAGGACACGAGGGTCAGTTCGCTGAGGGATGGGCAATGCTTTGTAACGGGAGACAGACTTGGAGCTTTTTATATTTTTGTACATACCCTTTAATAAAAGCTAATTAGTTCACTAGAAGAGAATCCATTTTCTCTGCTCTCTTTTAAGTTTCTATCAATGAGACGTTCTTGGAAACTTCCTGTGATCTAAATGAGGGAAGAAACAAAACTTTCTGTAACTGTTTCCAGAGACCACCAGCTAGAGCTGTTAGGCCCTTACACTGCACTCCCAGTCCCCAGGTCTGCGTGGCGGTTCCCTTTTCCAGTTGTTTGTTTGTATAGCAAAAACCCTCTTAAAACCATCCAGTTAATATGGTGGAATATCAGTTTGTTCTAGATCTACTGTAGCTGTGGAACTGTACCTGTCTGTGAATCAGCATACAACACCTGTATGTTACCAACTTGTGAAGTTTATTGTTTTGCCTTCCAATAAACACCTTTTTTTAAAATAAAAAAATAAAATGGCAGCTCAGATTTCGGAGTAAATGGATTCCTGTACCTTGACTAGAAGCCTTCTTTGAATTTATTTTAACTTTGTGTGTGTTTGGGTGTGTTGTAATCTGACAAGGCTGATTATATAGAAACACTGTTCAGATAATGGCACTAAAGTCAGGATATGGTAATTTTCTGCTGTGGTTACATTTCTCAGGGGCTGTAGGACAGACTTTCACTTCTACCACGATCACAGATGTGATCACAGATCTCACACTCCACAGGATAAACACGCACACTCTGCTGACTTACCACAGTCCCTTTAGAGAGAAGTGTTTTGTTGGCTTCTTTTTTACTGACATTGGCTGAAGGTTCCTGCCTATCCCTGTATCGTGTACGTGAGTAAAAAATTCAGGTATAGAAAAGTAAATTATATATCATAATTAGCAGTTTGTACTTTATGCTAACATAGCAGTTTGTACAAATCCCTCCAGTACATCATTTATTAACTTTTTATCTGTGCACGTTGGAAGGGTTTCTTGTTCCAGCCTTAGAGCTGTAAATATAAAAGTTAAAGTTCAAAGAGTCAAAGCAGTTACTCCTCCTGTGCTTTCTGAATTTCTTCAAGGGCTTGTTCAAGTGTTAGAGGTGGGGATTTGTGATTCTTGATGTACTGCAAAGAAAAAAAGGTAAGACACAAATGTCTTTATTATGTAGATAATTACTTTCTAGTATTTAATAAATGATAAAATCTCCATGTTAAGATACCTCTAAGATACCTGCACTTTGCTGTGCTAGCAACAGAAAGTGACCCTTCTGCTGCAGCATTTGGAAGATCCCTGCTTGTTTGGGGACAGCCAAATGCTACTGCTGAAAGCTTAATCTTTCAAAACCATGGCCTCCAGCAAGACTTTAGCCTTAGTACAGTAAAAAACCACAACTTATTAATTAATAATATGCAAAGAAACTCAGTTTGCTGCAAATACCAGAAGCATCTGGAAAGGAATATCTGCTCAGTCTCTCTGGTCTGTCATAAATACCTCCTTAGCCTCCTCCAGGCTGTGGTAGTGGAACTTCTCATGCTCTAAGGACTCCACGAGGGAAGAGTGAAGGTGCTGAACATTCTCAACAAACTGCTGGGTCAACATCAAGTGCTGTTTGCACAGGGAATGGAGCACGAGGACAGAGGGGCTGTAGGCAGTCAGGGCTGTGGGGAAGGCACAGGAGGGGCTGAATGAGCCAAGCATGGCTTAGGTACAGAAAACAACAATAACAGAAGGGTAAAGATGTTTTTCAGTACCTTCTACTGCATCCATGCTGATGACTTGACTGGCAATAGGCACTGGGTCGATGTAGCTGGTTTGCACAGGTGAGTTGAGCACTGCAGAGGGGTTTGCTGTGTCAGGAAACATCAGGATTAGGGGGGGAGAGACTGGAAAGGTTTGGTGCTCTAACTTGGGACAGTCTCTTGGGACAGCAGCTGCCCAAGAAACCCTGTAAAACCCGAAAACAGCCCTAAAACCACTGTAGAGCCTAACAGGGAATTCTGTCAGCCAAAAAAATGCTGAAATAGTTATACAACCTCCACAGTTTCTTTACTCTTCCGCTCACAACAGCTACCACTGCAAAAGGCATCTTTTCTAACCCTAGGCAGAGTAAAAATAAGGACTTTTGTACTCCAAAGAAGCTCCTGTTTTCAAGCACACTTGAGTTTCTACTTTCTCCTCCTCAAGTGAGGCAAGAAGTGGCTCTCAGCACTTTTTCCTTGAAATAAAGACACAGGCAGGGAGCTCCTCCTCGGGAATGAGAAAGGTCACATCTGATCCTGTCGTGGGGCCATAGTGCTTTCCCAAGAAAGGCACTGCAAAAGGAGAACTCCACGATGAGCAATCACTTTAGTAACACTACAGTTATTATTTACAATAGCAAAGATATCAGAGTGTTGAATTCCACTGAAGAGTATTACTTGTGCTATTGTGAGCTTTGTCACCAACACTCACTCACCCAGCCACGGGTCCTGTGGGGTTTTTTTAAAACAAAAACCAGTCCTAAGCTCTCATGGCATTCAATCTCAATCTTTTCTAGGGGCAGCAGATTGATGTGTTGGGCTTTGAAAGCTTTTAATTTAGCACCAGCAAGGGGAAGCTGGGACTGAAACCAAGAATAAGTGGGCTGACATATATAAAAGTGTAGAAGTTGCTCTGCACTCACCCTTTGCCCAGCAGTAGGTGAAGGGGGGCTCTGCTGTCTGAACCCCAGTGTCCCTCACAGTCACTGGGTGCCCCCATTTGTGCTGCTCCCGGGTCCCCACAGGGGATGAGGCTGAGGACGGGCGTTCTCCAGAATGTCCCTCTGACACTCTGGACACAGATTCCCTGTCTGTTGTAGACAGAGACCTTTCAAAGTCTTCAGAATATTCTGAATTAAGAGTTCTCTCATCCTGATCGAGATAATCCTGTTTGTGTCCAGGGGGATCTGTGGAAACTCCACTTAAATGCTCAGAGATTTCTGCTTCAGTGACACTTTTTTCAGTGTCCCCATCATTCACACCAGTTACTGCATTGGTCATTTCAGGAGAAGCTTGGTCCTCTTCCACCAATTTGTTTGATTCTTGAGTCATTTCAATGTCTTTCCCCTGTAAAATGATTTATTTTAGAACCTCCACCCTCCACTCAACAGAGGCAGACTGGGAATAGGTGTTAGTAGGGAATTCCTACTCACACTCTGCTTTAATTCTGCTGCCTCACTGGTGATATCTGGGGCCAAATCATCAAGGCTCAGGATATTCAGTCTGAAATCTGCAATCAAATGACACATTGACATGAGAACTTGCATGAAAGTTACAGTACACTTAAATGAGAAAAGAGGGGAAAAATCAGTACTACCTTCCCAGTTTAATACTAAAAGGTAATAGCAATCAAACACTCTAAATCTTTAACTTGGCAGAAACTCCTCCTAAAATTTCCTCCTTTGGCCTGCTGCCTCAAGTTCAAGAGATTTTTGCTGCCCCTCATTTCCAGCTGTTCTCACTGACCCATTGGTACTTTGTCCCATTGATATATGAGAACTATTCTAAATATTGTACTAGTTTTGATGTCATAACATCACCCAGGGCAGCAGCACTAACCTGAACCCAACCTAAGTCAAAAGCAAAGGAAAATACAAACCTATTGCACCAGAAAAAAATAAACAGATCCACATAATTACTTTGATAAGGCCTTGGTTTATGTAAAATTTCACCAGTGAATCCTTTCAAAGTGATTATTTGCCCAGTTTATTAGTGAATTTATCAGATTATCAGTACAATTCATGCCAGGTCTCCTTGAGACAGTATTTTAGAAAACTCACCATTTGAGCTGCTGCTGGTTGGATCTTCTGCATCATCTGCATTTGAGAATAATTCATCTAATGATTTTATTTCACTTCTGTCACTTCCAAGGGATTCTTGGCTTGCTTTGGTGTAGCCTGTTTTAGGCAGAGCAATCTTTACAGTGTTGTCTTTCATGGAAGAGCTCATGGTATGTCCTGACAGGTTTCTGCTGGTGGGTGAAGGTGCTGGGGAATTAACTCTACTAAAAACACTTTTCTGTGAGTCTTTGTTGTGAAAAGAAGATGCTTTAGGTAACTCTGTTGGTGCAATTTCCTTATGAGACAGAGGAGGCCTTCCTGATGGAACTGGAGTCTTGTTCTTTTGAAGAACATGAAAAACAGATTTAAGTGTTACTTCATTATTATGTTCAGAGTGCTAAAAAGGAACACAAATCATTATGGGTAAAATAAGAGTAATTTAAGATGTTTTAAGATGTTAAGAAGTGAAGCTGAATCCTATCATGAGCAAGCCACAAATGCAAATTTAAAATTTAGTATCTGGTGTTATCTAAATAAAAAGTGAGCAACCAATTAAAACAATTCTATAAAAGTGTTTATGGAAATACATAATCCAGCAAAGTCTGTATTTACCTTTCCATCCAGAACAACCTTCTGATTCCCATTTCCACCGGAAAACCTCAAGGAGTTCTCCATCAATTCTGTCATTTCCTCTTCATCACTATCCAGATCCAGCTGTTGTTTAACCATAATGGTCTTTTTAGGGCTTTGGATGCTTTCCTCTCCCTCAGAACTGGCATCCCTGTGGGTCCTGCTCTCCCTGGTGGCACCATAATTCTTCAGGTACTTCTTGCCCCTGGCACCGTGTTCACGCCCTGAGGCAGAGGAGGAGGAGGAGGAGGAGGACTCTTCTTCCAGAGGCTTCGGGCCCGGGTCAGTGTTCTGCGATTCCAGCTGCTTTTTCCGACTCATGATCTTGCTTTCCAGCTGAGCCACTTTGCTCAGGACTGAGCTGGACCGTGTGTGGGCTCCGTGTGCGTTCCCTGCCCTCGCGGTGCTTCCCGGCGTCGGGCACCGCCGGCTCCCCCGGGACATTCCATCGCGCACCTTCAGGAACCTGCCCTGGCACGACGGGGCTGTCCCGGCCATCTCCAGCTCCGTGTCCACCGCCCCGAGCCCGGCCGGGATGGTCCTGCTGTGTCCCTGCCGAGAACCCCAGAATCGCCCAGGTTGGAAAAGCCCTCCCGGATCACAGAGTCTCCCCTTTGCCCGATCCCCACCTTGTCCCCCAGCCCAGAGCACTGAGCGCCACGTCCAGTCCTTCCTTGGACACCTCCAGTGGTGGGGACTCCAAACCTTGCTGGGCAGCCCCTTCCAACGCCTGACCACCCTTTCCTGCAAGAAATTCCTCCTGATGTCCAACCTGACTCTCCCCTGGCACAGCTTGATGCTGATTCCTCTTGTGTTGTTCTTCCCTGCGAGCAAAGCCCGACCGCCCTCCCCGGGTCCACCCTCCTGTCCGGGAGCTGCAGAGAGGGGCTTGTACAGATCCCTCCCCTCACGGCCAAACACGTGCCCAGGAACGGAGCGAGCTGAGGCACCGGCGCCTCACCTGCCCTCGGCCCGCGGGGGCCCGAGCGATCGCGGCCATCCGGGACGGGACGGGGACGGGATGGGACGGGGACGGACGGGACGGAATGGGATGAGATGAGATGGGATGGAATGGGACGGGACGGAATGGGACGGGGATGGAATGGGACGGGCCGGGCCAGGGCCGGGACCGCCCGGGCTGAGGCGGCGGCTCCTCCAGACCCGGGCCAGAGCGGGCGGCGCGCGGCCGTATCCGGGAGACCGGCCTCCCCAACATCCCGCCCGCTCATTGGCTTCGCTCACCCGCCAGCCAATCCCAAGCAGTTTTACTGCCGCCCGCCCCGGATGCGCAGACTACAATTCCCAGCATGCCCCGGGATCGATAAATCGGGATTTATCCAAACCTCCTGATGTGGGAATTAATCCAGTTGTTCAGCAGGATTTGTGTTAGTACCTGCCCTTTATGTGCTTGTGTGTCATTTCCAGAGACTTGGGGCAGTTTGTAATTTGTGTGTCACGGTGACATTTGGCACTCTCTCTAATTATATAGTTGTAATAAAAGGATAGTTATGCAGCTTGTGCCATGGATCGGTTTTATTTTGCCTGGATATTTTGTTTTCTGGGTTAGTTTTCTAGTACTTTATAGTACCACAATTCTGCTGCAAGGCAGTTTTTAAGACTTATGTTTAAGATCCTTAAAAACTTTCACTTGCCTTCTTTAAAACCCTGGTTAACAGCTATACACAGTTCTGATTACATACTTTGATTATATACTTTGAATATAAGGCCAGATAAGATTTAAGAAGTAAAACCTGATAATGAAATGCGTCTGGCAACCTACAAGATGGTTTTGATCCAATTAATGATCCAACAGTGAGGAAACCCCCTGACTGGGATAATTGAATCCAAAGTGATGATCCAAAAGACATCAAGCCTGGTGTAATTTGCTCTCCTTACTCTGCATTAGTGGATTATTTAATTTCTACTTGATATTGTCGAACTGGGGTTTTGCTTTCTTAATCTTTCTGTGTCTTTTAAAGAATTGGGATGAACCTGAATCCATGAGGAACCTGAATTTTTGACTGAAGCTTGGAGTGAAGAAGGGCATTATCATGTTGTGATTCATCCCAGGGGGAAGGAAACAAGGCAACCTGGCCCATCCTGAGATTCTGTAACAAAGTAAAACAACTGTGTTTGTCCAGGAGAAAGCTGGATGCAGGTCAGCAGGTAAAGGTCAATCAGTGCCTTGACTCATTACCTGGAAGAACATTCCACGGGGCACTCACAGCCCTCCCTGGCCCTACTTTGTCCACACCTTTCGTAGGTCACGACCAGCTCTGCCTGAGGCAGCTGGCAGAGAGCCCTGGGAGTGGCGATTTTAGGAAGAATTTCTTCACAGAAAGGGTGATTAGACACTGGAATGGACTGTATAAATATCTAAGGATTGGTGTCAGAGGATGGACCAGGCTCTGCTCAGTGGTGCACAGCAACAGGACAAGAGTTAACAGGGAGAAAATGACGCCCAGGAAGTTCCACCTGAACATGAGGAAGAACCTCTGAACTGTGCACAGGAACAGGCTGCCCAGAGAGGGTGTGGAGCCTCCCTCACTGGAGATATTCCAAAGGACAACAACCCTATGCCGTGCGGTCAGGGACGGGCACGAAGACGGGATCAAGTGGTCCCTTCCAACCTGACCCATCCTGTGACTCAGTGATCCTGTGAGTGCTCAGGCAGGTTTGCACTCACCATCCCTGGAGGTGATGGCCCAAGGAACGCCCGGCCGTGGCACTCAGTGACAGGAGTGCCAGGGAGTGCCAGGCAGCGTCCCTCCCTGACAAGGCGGCGATCGCCCGCAGGTCGGACCTACCATGACCTCAGCGGCCGTTCCCAACCCGGCTGATCCCGTGGGCGGGAAGCGCCTGCCGGGCCGCGATAACGGACCCCGCTGAAGCCGCAGCGGGTCTCGGCTCCCCCTCAGCCGCCACCGCCCCGGGGCCGCCCGGCCCGGCCCGGCCGAGCCACCGCCTCCCGCCCCTCGCCCCGCCCCGGCCGCGGCCCGACCCAGCGGGAGGAAGATGGCGGCGCTCATCCCCCTCAGCCAGCAGGTACCGGCCCGCGGCGCGGCGGCGGCACCCGCGGCCCTCAGCTCAGCCCCGCCGGGCGGCCGAGGGCAGCGGCACCGGGTCCTGCCCGCGGGCGGGGCGGCCGGGCCGGGCCGGCGCTGGGTGCAGGGCCCTGTGCCCGGGAGGGGCTCGGCCTGAGGGGGGAGAGAGGGTCGGGGCGCGGCGGGGAGCGGGACCCGGGCGGGGTGGGGCGGGCGAGCGGCCCCCGCGGTGTCCCCGGGGCTCGGCAGGGCCGGGCTGGGGGGAAGCAAAGGCGTTCTCCCCTCATGGAGGGCCTGGAGCTGCGCCCGTGGGGAGGGGAGGGGAGAGGAGGGAATGGGGGGCTCCGGGCGTTCCCCCTCGCCGAGGTGCCGCCCGGGAGCCGCGGGGGTCACTGAGGGCCGGGGATGGGGCTCCGACCTGGGGCGAGTCACCCCCTTGTCCTGCTCGTACCCTGAGCTGCCGGGCTGTCGTGACACGGTGTCGTGACAGGGTGTCGTGGCTGACAGGCTGTCGGGATGTTTGGGAGCGCGGGGACCCCGGGAAGGGGCTGCGGGGCGGGCGGGGGGTGTTTGCTCGCCCCATCCAGCAGCAGGTCAGGAACAGGCACATTCCCTGACCCTCGGGACAGGGTGACAAGGCTCTGGGAGAGGCTCTTTCCAGCTCTCTTTGGATGCTTGGGGTCCCCGCGCTGATTTTTGTCCTTACAAGTTTTTTTGGTGTGTGTGTTTGGTTTTTTTTTTTTAGTCTGTTTGGTTTTTTAAAATTAATTTCTCACCCAAATAATTCCAACCGAAGCAGTGTGATTGCTGTTTATTCTTTTCCATACCCCTGAGAATAGAGTTGGTTTACTTATTTCTTTTTTAAAGCAATGCCACCCTCAATGCCTTGAAATTAAAACTGTTTTCTACAGTGTGCTAGGCCAGTCAGGAATTCAGAACAACTGCTCTTAGTACTTCAGATTATTTAAATACATCAATTTCCTTTTAATAATGACCTTTTATTTGAGATACTTTGAAAATTTATCTCTCAGTGGAGTAATGTGATGCTTGGATAATGTATAATTTGCTGTGAGTCTTACTAAGAGTGGGCACTGCTTTTGAGCTTCTGAATAGCAGGAGTCCTGATGAACATCTGCTTAATTAAATGAACGTGTTCAGAAACATCTGAAAACATCCATGCACACACAAACCGCTATCAGAAGTTTCCAAGTGGCATAATGTGGTGCAAAATATGTAAGTAAAATAAACTCTGAATGTGCATTTTTAATAGTACATTGGTAAAAATGAAATAATTATCAAATATTTACACTGAAAATTCGGTTTCTCTGTTGTTTAAATTCTCATCGATATTTGAGGGTCTGGCATCAGTGGTGTTTCCTTTGTTATGACCTGTTATGTTTAGGGTGAAAAGGGCCACATTCTGTGAACATATCAGTTATTTTGACATTATTTTCCAGTGAATTCAATGGAAGCATCCTAATTTTAAACTTCTTTTTCTGTATTGAACTGTCAAGAGTAGTCTAGCTGTTACAGGGCAGTAAACAGAATTTCCTTTAATGAACTAAAAGAGGAAATTAATAAACTTCCTCTTTGAATAGCCTCAGTTTAGTGATTAGTAAGGAGATGTGTGCTGGTTACTGTAAATGCCAGAAATTGAATTAGAAAGAATAGGAGAGGGCACATGTGCTGTATGTTGAAGTATGTCCATGCAGAAAGATATAAAATAAGAATATTGATTTCAGCATGTTGGGATCTATAAACAATATGGGTAATTCAAGCTTGTGAAAGTGTTTAATCATATTTTGTCATTAATAATTTATCATATTATCATTTTAGGAAGAAATTCTTTACTTTAGGAAGGAATTCTTGGCTGTGAGGGTGGGGAGGCCCTGGCACAGGTTGCCCAGAGAAGCTGTGGCTGCCCCATCCCTGGAAGTGTCCAAGGCCAGGTTGGAGCAGCCTGGGCTAGTGGAAGGTGTCCCTGCCCATGGCACAGGGTGGGTCTGGATGAGCTTTAAGATCCTTTCCAACCCAAACCATTCTGGGGTTCTACACTATTTATATACTATTTAATATTTCATCTCTCTGACTGTGCATAAACCCCGTTGAAGAGCAAGCCTGTCAGATCAGTTCTTGCAGTTCAGTCCAGTTTCAGTTGTTTATGTTTGATAACTTTGTTTTCTTACATTTGCTCACCTTACCAGTGGTCTTTCCACTGTGCCAAGCACGTTCAACCTGCAGGCTCAGGAGGTTTTGGAGAGTTATCTTAGAGATATTGAGATCCTTTTGTAGCTCAGTTTTCTGAGACAACTCAGGACATTCAGCAAGTAGCATAAGGGCAAAAGTCATCTTTTTGGGGCAGCAGCAGCCTTCTTTGGGCTCTTGTCTTTGCAAACACCTTGTTTTTTCCCCTTTTACACTCCCTATTTTCATCTATCTGTGTGGCTGAAAGAAAATTTTTGAAGAGGAAGACGCCAAGGAAAGTAATTCATCTGATCCAGAGCTCTTTGTGGCCCTGGGATGACCTCAGGAAAGAGAACTGGATGTGTGAATTGTTCTGGTGGCAGCAGCTTCCCCCTGCCTTTTCCCCAGAGCTGCAGGAAGGGACTTGGATCAGTGTCCATGTGTGTACCACAAATGCAGTGTATGGATCTGCTGTGAGACTTAAACTTCAGATTTCTCCAGGAAATCAACTTGGGAGATCAAACAACAGGGCACCAGGGCTCTGGAGGATCTTTTTGGGAGCTGGTGTAAAGTGTCGGTCAGAGATGAGGTTTTGGGGACTATGGAGCAGGCACGGGAACCATGGGGTGGTTAAACTGTAAGTCAGACTGAACCTCTCTGACAGGTTGTGCTTTGACATCACCAACTGCAAACTCTTCACAATGTTTGTCTCTGGTTGCCAGGGCTGACAGCCTTGGGCAGGTCCTGCATCAGCAGATGTCACCAAATTGCAGAATCCTCCTGAATGATAGTGGTGTCGTCACGTGTGGTGACGGGTAGATAGAGAGCTGGGCTATTTTTATCACTTGAACCCATTTTGTCTGGTCTGCTTCATCACAGAGGTGCAGTCATTTGGGTAAATCAGCCAGAGAGGCTGAATCCTTGGAAAATTCTGCAAATAGGGAATCGAGGGCTGAAGGGCTTTCCAATAGCACTTTGGGGGAATATTTTCCTGTTGGAGAAACTTCACAGCATGGAAGCCCATCAGCCTGGATTCCTGCCACCTCTGTCAGGTAACTCAGCTCCATGTCATGGCTGACAATCCCAAATGAGGGTGACAGGGATGTCTGGTGATGGGATGAGATCATTCAGTGCTGCTGCTGGAGTGGTTTGCTCTGTCTCTTGGTACGAATCCAGTCTCTGCACACTCTGGGTTACTCGTCAGATCAGTTAGAGGAGCTTCTAGCTGGTGTTTGACCCTCTTCTCTGAGCTCTCTGATAAACAAGAGGTACAAAGTTTGGTTATAGTTGGCTAAAACATGCTGGGTTGGATTCAGACTGGGACAGACTATTTCCTACTTCCACCTCTTCTCTGAATGATGTGTTTCCTGCTTGGACAGGAACACAGTGCTTAGCTGTGCTGGATGTTTACATGTCAGCAGAAAGAATAGTCAGATTTATGAGTTATGGTCCAGGCATTCTTCTGAAATCCTGTCCACCTTCAGGAAGAGCTGGAGCTTCCAGAGGTTTGCTGACATTAGAGAATGCAGCAGCTTGTTTTGTGGATGGATAGAAGTGAAGCACATTTAAGATGCTTAGGAAACTGTTCTGAAAATGCAGGATTTTTCTATCCAAATAGAGCTGTTAATCCTCAAAGAGTCAGTGTTTGCTTGTGCTCAGTTGGAGGGTTTAGTTATTTCAGATAGCTCCTTACACTAATATTCGTCATGTTTATTGTAAATTCACAGCAAGGTTCTCTTGGTGTCAAATAAAATTTTATTGGGCTTTTCTTTCATCATGTTTCTGCCTTCCTTCCACTCAGAGTGGGCAGAACATCTGGAAAATCATGGGGATGACAAGGAAGCAGGTGGCATTTGGGAGGTGACATCCCAGTGATGGGAGTTAGTGGGAAATATTCTTTTGTCAGGCATCTGACTGGTGGCCTGGAGGTGCAGAGTGGTTGTCTCAGGCTTTGGGGTGTTGTGGCATCTCAGCATTTTGCTTATTAAACTGTTTATGGGGTTGTTTTGTTGATTGTTCTTTAAGACCTTTAACTTGTTTTTGCCTGGGTTGGTTTTGCTGTTGGCATTGAGGCTGGAGAACAGTGTGGAGGGATAACCTGCTTGTGAACTCCTGGGGCAGTTGGAGGAGGCAAGTGAGAAGATGGGTTTGGGGGATTCTGCCTCTTTTGGCATTTCAATTCCCATCTGCTTGGAATGTCAGCAAGAATGTCAACAATCTACTTGTTCAGCCCCCTGGAAAGGCAGGGCCTCCCTTGGCTCTGCTGCTCTGGTGTGATGTGGTTTGAAATCCCCCAACAGCATTGTCAGGGAATTGTGACATTGTCAATTCACTCTTCAGTCTGTTTATTTTTTGTTTTATTCTCTTTCAGTTTAAGATCCTAGTCCTGAAAATGCATAAGCACAGGCACAGGGCTCTGTGTGTGTGTGTGTGTGTGTGTGTGTGTATAATTGCCTGCTGAAAACATTCCATAAGGATATTTACAGTGCAGGGGGGACTCAGGTCAGCATTGGGTTCAAAACTGGGCCTTTGTTATCAGCAGTTCTCATACTGAGATCTGAAATACTTTGGCAAATAGTTCAAAGCTGTTCTACAAAAACTTATTTCCATGTAGCTGTTGATTAAAAGTGTGAGTAGAAGTTGGAATGGTGGTGAAGGAGAAGTTCTAGGAGGTGACAGGAGCCTGTTGGCTGCAGGTTTTGTGGGATCACCGTTATCCACACTTAAATTTCAAGTATCCAGTTTGGATGACAGCAAACTAACACCCTATTTTAGATTTTTTTGTTGAAGTAATACACAAAGTGCAATACTTTTGCTGTCAATTGTGATTGCTGTTCATTCTGGTTTCTTCCTTATGTTTCAGTTTTCTACTGGGAACCCAATATACGAAACTTACTACAAACAGGTACGTTCTTAAAAGAAGAAAAGCAAAAATAAAGTGCAGTTTCTTCTTCCCCAAGATTTTCCTCTCTTTCCTTTCCCCATTGCAGTGCTAAATTCTTCCTGCTGATGCAGTTTGTGTAACTCCATCTGACCTAGAGACACTGCATTTCTCATCTCTGCTTTCACAACAGTCATGCTTCAGTTAAATGTTAATTTTTCTCTTTCAGGTAGATCCAACATACACGGGGAGAGTTGGGGCAAGTGAAGCTGCTCTGTTTCTTAAAAAATCTGGTCTCTCTGATATCATCCTTGGAAAAGTAAGTTGAAGGAATTGGGTAATGCAATAATTGTCTGTACACTTTTTTAAGTGAAAGGACAAATCTACAAGGAAAAATTATCTTTTGTGTAACATTTCTGTTGTTAACTTGGCAGTGAAATAACATTGTGTCATGACTTGAAAGCTGAATGAACATTTCCAGAAGACACACAGTATGAACTGTTGAGCTGAGTTTTATTTTAAATTCACAATTTTTATTTTGTATCTCCACAGATATGGGATTTGGCTGACCCAGAGGGGAAAGGATACTTAGATAAACAGGTAAATGAAATGTTCCTGTAGACCTGCTATGTTACCTTTCCCAGATTAGCCTTGTTTCAAGCAAACCCTGATACCAATAATAGTTATCCTTGGCTTTTTTTGACTTGAGTTTTTGTTTACAAGATGAGTTTCTTCCCCAGCACTTCTCATATCTAAATGTATTACTCAGTGAGGCTGCTGGAGAAGTTTGGATCTCATTTTCTGTATCTCTTTTGTTTTGTAAATAATCAGTGTATATGATATGTAGATACACAGTCACCGAGTCACAAATACAAAATATGATTTTAAGATTTATTTCAGAAGACATTCTTGCATGTAAAAATCTAACCAGCATTACTAAAAACGGCTTGGAATATCAAATAGCAAGTTACTTGTAGATATTGATGAATTTTTTTTAAACATTATTAATTTTTAAGAACGTTGAAGTTCAGTTATGGGGGAGTCCTTTGTGAAAATGAACTTGCAATTTTCTGCTCTTTGTTTCCCGTTATTGTAAAATTTTTCCCACTCCCCCAAATTGGACTGGGAAGGCACACAAGGTGACAGTCTAATAATGTACATGTTCCATGTACAGTGCTAATAAAAATCACAGATGGGTTATTTTTCCTGATTCAGACTGGTTTGGAATGGGTTCTTTGCAGGGTTTCTACGTCGCGTTGCGCCTTGTGGCCTGTGCACAGAACGGCCACGACGTCAACATGAGCAGCCTCAACCTGACTGTGCCACCCCCTAAATTTGTAAGTAATATCCACCCAAATGTGTGTTATATGGGAACTAAGGCTTCAGCTGGAACGTTGGAATAATCTCCTGTTTCAGAAATGTGGTTCTGGGGCTGCAGGCTGATGGCAAAGTGTTCCTTAGGACACTGCCACAGTCCTGTTGTCCTCGGTGGGTTTTGCAAGTTTAACTCTGCTCAGCTTGGGCAGGAAGCTGATGTGGCTGAACTCTAAAAAAAAGGAAGAAAATAAGGTTATTTTGGGGCTGGGTCAGCAGGAGTGGGCAGTGAAAGGCACAGCTGCAGCTTTGCCTGCAGTAGCTGCTGCAGAACCTCTTTGTTGTGTGTTTGGGTATCTAATGCACCAATAAATGTCCTCATCCAAGTGCTCTAATAGTATAAATGAGTGTAACTTTTATTTAGGTACAGCCTCTTTCTCTCAGTGTAGTTAAGCTTCATGTCTATAACCACCTCTTAAAGCAATTAGTAAAGATTAGAGACAGAAGTCTGTATTTATATATATAAATATACATATAAATAAAAATTCTCCATTTTTTTAGCATGACAGTAGCAGTCCTTTGCTGATCACACCACCTTCAACAGAGACTCACTGGGCTGTCAGGGTAAGTGTAAAAGACAACACATTACATCCATTCTTTAAAAGTGAATCTTTTCCTTGTGTATAATTTTCTCTCAGTGAGAGAATTTTGTATCCAGTGTATTTCCTGTTTCAGAAATCCTCCCTTTCTGTGCAGACTTGTGCACAATAGAGAATATTGAGGTGTAGTTTTACATGTGTAATAAGTATTAAACCACCCTTTGACAACCCCAGCTGTGATGTTTTTAAGACACAATGAATTTTAATCTTCTGCCTGGATTTCTTCCAGAATCCTACAATTAGGCACTTTCATTGTTTGTATAAAGGAACCCCACTGAGAACAGCAAAGTATTTCACCAAATCCATCCTAAATTATTAATTTAAAGCTCGAGTTCCTATATTCTAGTTAGTATTCAGTGATACATGTAATATATATCATTGGGGAAAAAAAGTAACCTTTGATGTGTATATGCGGGTATTTGTATTTAGTTAATTTTCAAATGCAAACGTTTCCAAAAGGTAGAAATTTAATAAAATAACTTGTAATGCTGATTATTTTTTGTACTTATGTGTTGTACTTCAAAGTGGGAAGAAGAGGTTTTAGTTCTCCAGAGTTTATCGAAGTTTCTTTAAAACAGAAACACATCTTGACTGCTGCATGGTAAAATCTCTCATGGAAGGTTATAAAATAACCTTAGCTTTGAAATTAGGCTCTTAAATCTCTCTCCATGGGTTTACATTTAAATACAGCACCGTGGCACTTGCAAGAAAGTTTGGAAGTTTAGGATGAACACATCACTGACCAGCCTTAATTTCTTGCAAGATCTCATTTTCAACACTCACACAGGCACACTTTTTTACTTATTCAGACTATTTCTTGCCAACTAGGTGGAAGAAAAAGCAAAGTTTGATGGTATTTTTGAAAGCCTTTTGCCAGTAAATGGTTTACTTTCAGGAGACAAAGTAAAACCAGTACTGATGAATTCAAAGCTACCTCTTGATATCCTCGGAAGGGTAAGTGTGCTGTTTAAATTTTGCTGGTCTCTGTTTAACTTCTCATAGTTTGCAGCGTGAAATATTTATATGTGATTTATCAACACAGATCAGGTTTTGGCTGAGATTCTGCATTGATTGCATGCTATCAAGCAAGAACATTAAGTCTCTGCAGTCTTCCACTTAGAAATAAGAACAGTAGTAGTAATTTCAGCCCTGGAGTTGATTGGCTTAATTATCTCTCTGTTCATTTTAAGAACTGGAAATTTTGATTTTGGTTGTTTAAAAGCAAGAAAAAGCTTTTCTAAACTTTTATAATATTAGCTTTTATAACATTATATTCCACTGTTTTGTCATTTTTACACATAGGAGTTATTAGACATCCCATTAAATCCCTCCGCTGTTGGTACAGGAGAACACCTCAGAACATCCTCATTTATTGTACCTGGCAAATTGTCAAGTTGTTTTTTTTCCAAGATCTGAATTTAGTGCATCCATTGCATATTTGCCAGGGAAGCAAACCTGAAAGTATTTTTCTGCTCCCATTTAAAACACATTCTTTAATGCTTTGCATATTTACATGCCTGAGAGTGAATTCATTCTGTGTAACAGCTGTATCTGTGTTACATCCTTATATCTCTTCAGGAAGAACTGCTTCTTTCTCTGTATTATCTACAAAACCTGACTTGTTTCAATTCTGTACTGGAATATAGTGAAGTACTGAGTCTTGAAAGGCTTTGGATTTCATCTTGTAATTGTCCCAGTAGAAATTCAGGAAGCTTTTGCCTCCTCTAGAAAAGTTTGTGGACGAGATAAAGGACTGAGGAAATGGGCGAAGGACTAATCAAGGAGCTTAAATTTGTACAGTGATGAAGTAGAGTTCAGACAGTTGAGCCTTAGGCTTGGGTTTCTGTGCACTCTGCTGTCTCCAGGTTATATTGATGATTAAACTGAGTGTTGGAGTCCACAAAGTTTTGTATCCCTCTAAATCTTCTGCAAGTTTCATTGAGTTTACCTGACCTAATAATGAACTGAAGTTGAGAAACGCTTAAATTCTCTCCCACAGAAAATTCAGGGGGCCAGAGGGAGCTGCACATGGTTTTAGTTATCAGTAAAACCTAGGAATGGGATAGGAATTAGAAATTTGAGTTTTCTAAAATATTTTAACTTTCTTACAAGACATTTGGATGATCTGCTAACCCCACATCCTCTGGACAGTTCTGCAAACCACCTCTGAATGCTTTTAGTCAGCTTGATGACTCCTTAATTGCACCATAGGAAGATGAAAAACCTGCCTGTGTTGCAGCCGGAATTTGTTAGAGCCAGCATTGATTCACACTGGCCAGAAAACTCTAATCCAGTCTGTTTCATCAGAGAGTGTTTAGATAGTTTAATAAAACTAATATGATCTTCACCAAAACCTATTAAGAGTCTTTAGAGGGCATGTTAATTTGATGAATGCACAGGATGTAACTTGCTCTCTAAATCATTTTTTCATCTTAATTGCTCTAGGTCTGGGATCTCAGTGATATTGATAAAGATGGTCACCTGGACAAGGATGAATTTGCTGTGGTAGGTTGCTTTAAATTCTCAATTCACAGCTCAGTCTGTCTGGCAGAGCAAACAGCTCATTTTTTTTTCTCAAGAGCTTTGCAGCTTTCTCTGCTACAGTTCACTGTTCTAATCTGCCTTGTTCACACAGAGCTATTAAATGATCTTCCTCAAATCCATCCACTGACTCTTGCCTATGTCATCAAGATTAAACTTGTTGGGATTACATCCAAAACGATCTGCTCTGGTTGAACTCTCTAATCTTACAGCCTTTGTTTTACTGTGATGTAAATGACTGACACTGGAAGATCTCGTTGCTTTTTTTCCTGCTAATTGTGAATGTTATCTGACCTTTTTGCCTTTGCAGGCAATGCATTTGGTTTATAGAGCTCTTGAGAAAGAGTCAGTCCCTTCACAATTGCCCCCTTCTCTCATACCACCTTCCAAAAGAAAGAAGATGCCGGTGTTCCCTGGAGCAGTTCCTGTTCTCCCTGCGAGCCCCCCACCCAAGGACAGCCTCCGTTCCACCCCCTCCCACGGCAGTGTCAACAGCCTGAACAGCACAGGGAGTCTGTCCCCCAAGCACAGCATCAAACAAGCACAGGTACTCATCTGCCTTTCTTTTTTTGGGTCAGGAAAGCTGCAGGAAAAAACAAACCTGCTCTTTGATTTCTGCCTCGTGAGAGCGCTTGGGTTTGGGGGATTTGGGGGGTGTGTGTGTGAAATTTAGTACCAAATTTAAGGGATTTAATGCCAACAAATAATATAAAAGAAATTTAATACCAAAGAAATCATTGGTCAGGCTTGGAAGAATGGAATACCAAAGAAATTTAATTCCCAATTTAAGGA